GCTGCTGTGAGAAAAGGCTATAAACGATCGGCCACCTGCAGGATCCTCACATGCGATAGCCTAGTAGCCGGGACAAATTCTTTATGTTTGCAGACGTGACATAATGATGCAGCAGCATGCTCGAATTTCCCGCGAAAACCTACCCATACCACTCAAATTAGAAAACATTATTATAAGCTGACCGTTGTAAATTAATATAAATTGTAAAGTAAGGCGATAGTTTCGAACACTGGCTGGTTATGTACTTGCTCAAATATTGATTTCGGATCATTTTTAACCAAAAAAAGTTACGGACTGCAGCTTTAATGAAAATTGTAGCTGAATAGTGTTGCTACTTTTGGTGACCATATTTACATAATTTTCAATTAAGTTTCATGTTCTTTTTAGGCCTTTATTCTGAAGATGTTCACATGAATATTCATGTGCACATGTAATCAGCCTATTCAGAATAAACTAAGACTGATGTTCTCATCTTGAAATACTAGAGATGCTTGCTCATTTATTATGCTGCATATTTATTAAGCGAACAGTAATTTAATCAGCTCATTAATTCTCATTCATTTCCTGAATGATAACAAACAAGAATGTGATGAATTGTAAAATGTAGGTCATGAGATGCATACAAATGTAGGCCACAATGTTCCTTCCTTCTCTCCAAAAACGCATTTCTTGGATAGTTCTGTCTGTGTCTAATATCACTCAGAATTATCTTGTTTGTACATGCACTGATTCATGAGTGCTCAGTTAAAGATGATTTATGTTGAATAAGGTATGACCCACAATTTGGATAAATACAATCATGTATTGTATCTTATGTGTTTGTACATGTCAACACTATTGCTAGCAGTGTTGGGGAAAGTTACTTTTAAAAGTAATGCATTACAATATTTCATTACTCCCTAAAAAAACTAATTATATTACTTAGTTACTTTTTATGGAAAGTAATGTGTTATGTTACTTTTGCGTTACTTTTAAAATCTGGGCGTGGCTTACTTGTTTTTAATATAAAAAGTTCTATATTCAGCAAAAGAGAAATAATTAAGCCTCAGGTTGAAGGAAATGTAAATTCAAAATTCACGTCTATTCAGTAGAGACGCTCTTGTAACACTCTGACTTCTTGCATTTAATTTAATATTATAGTCTTGTCCTTATTAGTGAAAATATATCAATTGTATTATTAGTTAGTGCACCTATATTTGTTTCTTTGATCAAAAGTTGATTAGTGTATTTCAAGTAGTCCGTGAGTTATGAAGGAAAATGTAAAAAAAATATATATATATGTTACAGTAGCCCCCGATCTCCCCTACTACTTTGGTAACCATTTCTGTGGTGAGCGACAATGATTCTGTATACAGTATGGAGCTTTTGTCATTCTATTTTCAATGTCTTTTGTGTCTATAGACCATCTTAGTCCTGTTGAGGAGAATCCTTTTGTAAACCAAAGGAAAAATGGAAATATTAATGCACTGGACAACCCGGGTTACCACAGCACCCCTGATAGGAAACCCAAGGGAGAGGATGAGTATATCAACGCACCCCTTTACCTAAACGCATACAATAACAGTAGTGGTACAAACCAGGAGATTATGAGGAAAAATGGAGCTTCCATCCCGCTACAGATGACAACAGCAGCCAACACCGCAAGTAGCCACGTTATCCTCTCAACACAAACTGGGAAAGCCCACCACCATGGCCAGGGAACACATGTTCATTTTGCCGTTCCACCTGTTCAGCCCCCCCAAACCAGACCGATGAGCCAAAATGGCCAGCATTCCCAGTCGCCACATGGTGCCGAATCCAATTCCTCTAGCATGTCTGGCAATCCCTCCTTGTTAACCCAAATCTCCCTTGTCAGCCAACAGATCCAACCTTGTCCTGCGAGTCAGTCCGGCTCTTCAACTCATCCGGCTCAAGTGGTAAAATCGGCAGTCACTAGTAAAAGTATATTCGGCCTTCCAGGCCACCTTGTCTATCCAGGTAACATGCTTCAAGCGGGTCATACTGGGACTGTAATGGCCGACAGTAAGTCGAAGAAGAACTTTGATTATGCTGACTACTGGCAGCATAGTCTACCGCCCAAGGTGACTCAGCCAAACCCTCAAGACCCAACGCAAGTGTGCAAAAGCAAACATCTCTACAGGCACAGCATCCGAAGTCGCATCGCCGTGGCTGACAACCCTGAGTATCTTTCTGAGTTTAACAAGAGACCGGGAACAGTTCTGCCACCTCCACCGTACCGGCACAGGAATACGGTAGTGTAACGACGCAGTTCTGGAGAGCCAGATTCTCCTACCAGCACCGTACGATTAAATGGAATTACTTTAATTAATGGAAAACTCCCAACTTCAGGAATTAAGGATGGAGACTTATCGGATGTTAAAGGGAACACTGATCAACCAAAGTGCCTCTAAACTATTCCAAAAGCTATTCCATCTTTTCTATTCCAATAAATCAGAATGTAACCAGATGTGCATCCTTTAAAGGGATAATTTAACCAAAAATGAACATTCTGTCATAATTTATTCTCTGTCATGTCGCTCCAAACATACTTATGTTGAAACACAAATGAAGATATTTTTAATGAACCCTGAGAGATTTTTGTCCTTCCACTGAAAGTCCATTACACAGAGGAAAAAAAAACTCTAATTTGTTACAGCCAAATGTATTAGTTTTTCATATTTTCCCAAAGACAAAAATTTACATTCCTACCAAGTAAAATTATTATTATAAACACCATATACATTTTGTTAGTCTGTTTAATTTAGTTTACTTACTATAAATAAAGATATCTTCGGAAGACCTATTGTGATGTCTCTTTAAAATATGCATAATCTTTTCTGTTATATACTAACAAAAACACCAAAAAAAAAAATAAAACCCACAATAATTTCTGCAGTCAGTAAAGCTAGCTAATATGTATTCTGCACATCGACACTTTGGTGTCAAGCACATCGACACTTTGGGGAGTGTTACTTGCTTTTAGCCATGCCAGAACTGGAAACCATGATTTTCGATTAGTCCAATATAAAAATACAAACACATAGTAATTTCACTTTTATCAGTGTAAACCAAAACTTTGGCATTTTAAAAATGTTCATTAAGACATCATAAAATAAATCCATATGAATCAAATGGAAGCTCAGATGTGCTTGCTTGACCAATGAGGTTCGTCGAGCTTCTATTTACCATATTTGATGTGCTGTATTTATGTGCATTGATGTGTGTTTATATGTGAATAAAAGTCTAAATGAAACCATGTCATAAAGTATTCATGTCTTTTCAGAAGACTTGGGTTAAACCACTCAATTCATATGGATTTATTTTACGATCTCTAAGTTTTGATGGAAATAACTTTCAATGGAGGGACAGAAATCTCTCCGGTTTCATTTAAAAAATCTTCATTTGTGATTCAAGATGAAGTCTTATGGGTTTGGAAAGGCATGAGGGTGAATAAATGATGAAAGAATGTTCATGTTTGTGCAAACTGACTCTTTACTTCTCACCTCTGACTGTTTCTCCTACAGTTAGGACATTCATTGTGATATTGTGGAAACTGGTGTCCAACTTGACAAAAAGATAAAGGTAAGGGAAAACAAGGGTGGAAAAAAAAAAACACTTGCTCTTGTGTTGTTGGTTATTCTTAATAGTTTTTTTTTTTGTGAAAGGCAATTAAATTTATTATGGTTTATTTCTGGTTTCCTAAGTTTAGACCAACTGTCTTTTTGACCACTTACCGTCCATTCTGTATAGTAGCTATATTCTCTTCCATTTTTTGACTGACGGACACGGATGCATTACGAATCTAGGACTGCCCTCAAGAAAACCGGGGTACAGTAACTCTTCTATGTGAACGAGACAATGATGTGGATTGTAAATTGACGTATCTTCTGGTACCATAGTGGATTTATTAATGGACTATGCTGGTTGGATACTAATTATTTTCAATCATGTTCTTCTTCATGTTGTTTAAACTTACCAGTTTCCCCCAGTTTTGTACTCATATATAGAAATGATCAAATCTGACACAGGCAGAGAAAGAGCACACGGGGCAGCCATACAGCTTCTTGAGCTAATGGGAAATAAGTGCCTTCCTGAGTGGCACAAAAGCATCGGTGGATGTGCCAGTGGTGTGATTTGACCTGGAATCTTTAACTGCTGTAAATATAAGTGAAACCAATTTGAATATTTACTACTGAGCCACCCATGTGCAAATAGACTCACCCAGAGCCGGGAACCATGCATTGAAAATATGTTGTTGTATTTAATTCATCTAGTAATGAATTTAACGCCAAGATTGATATATTCTGGAAGGCAATATTACAGGTGATGGAGGGCACAATACAAACTCAAATAAACTACTGATCTCCAATGGAGAATTTTTCAGTGTACTGTGACAGAAAATACTTTTGTCTGAAATGTATCCTGCTCTCAGTGAGAGTGTGACCGTATTGTGACCAGGGAGAAACTGTTCATATGTTATAAACTGTAATGGATATTTGTCATTACTTATGTCAGTGTCATAGCAGATAAGAAGTTTGGTCCTACATGTACCATGCTAATATTATGAGACTTGGATTTGCTTCTGACTGAACAGCCATGGGAGATGTAGCTAGATTTGTTAGGCTTTTCTGTTTTGTTCTTTTCTTTGCCTTGTACTTGTGTTTGTTTTGGGGCCATTCCAAAAGATGCATCTCATCCGTGTTGTAATTCTATTTGATGGAATGACACAATAAAGGTCTTGTTTGAGATTTTGAACTTGTTCTTATATTTCTAGAGTCTGAGATGTGAGGGTCTTTTGTTGTTGCATGGTACAAGCACCAGCTTGTTCACTACACTTTTCAGGTATAATCCATCATGTCTGAACTTTCTCTTACAAACAAGTAGTGTGGTGCTATCGGATCTCGCCAACCTCCCTTCCTTCGCCAGTAAGTAAGATGTGTACTTTTGCTGCTTCAGCTACTTTTTGTTTTAGTTTGAAATTACTATTGTTTGAATTGATAATTAGGAAGTTACTGGGATGGAAATTGACAGATTTTTAATTAAAGGATTAGTTCACAAGGATTAGTTAGTTATTTTAGTTCACCCAAAAGTGAAAATATTATAAAAAAATTTACTCACCCTCAGGTCATCCAAGGTGTAGATGAGTTTTTTTTTTTCTTCATCAGAACAGATTTGGAGAAATTTAGTATTACATCACTTACTCACCAATGGATCCTCTGCAGTGAATAGTTGTAGATTATTGTGATGTTTTCATTGTTTGAACTTCCATTCTGACGACTTTTCACTGGACAAAGCAATATAATGGATAGAAGATTTATCCATTATATTGCTTTGTCCAGTGAAAAGTCATCCTGTCTGAATCATGAGAGAAATATGACCAGATCAAGTATTGTTTACAAGTGAAAACAGTCCAAAACCGTTTTGATGTGAGAGGGTGAGAGGGGATGGACTTTTTCACTGGATAAAGCATTATTGTGGATTACAGACTGGTATTTTGGCCTGAAGCAATGGTTTAATTTTGAGCACTTTTTTTTTTTTTTTTTTTTGGTCTCTTTTTTTTTTTGATGTTAGGTCTTTGATTCAGAAAAGGCGATATTAAACAGATTGAGCTTCTCTTTTCCATGCAAACTCTCAAGCCTGAAAGGGGTCATCTGATGCCCATTTTCCACAAGTTGATATGATTCTTTAGGGTCTTAATGAAAAGTCTGTAACATAGTTTGGTTAAAATTTCTCAATGGTAGTGAAAAACATTTTTTTTACCCTGTCAAAAACAGCTCTTTTCAGAGCAAGCCGTTTTGTAGCATTTTCCTTTAAATGTTAATGAGCTCTGCTGACCCCGTCTGATGCTGCGTTCAAGTCCTCCTGGGACATTCGTACTTACGAGTTGACACGTCGTAATTACGACGTCAGGTGCGTTCAAGTCAGTTTAGTCGGCACAAGATGGTGGTGTACCTTCTTTTAATAAATTACAAGAAAATACAACAGGGTCT